CTTGGCATTTAGCCAGTCAGAGACAGACACAGTTTTCCCCCTGTTCTTGTGTCATCCTAAGGGATGGGATTCATCTGATGTAACTGGTCACCTCAAAATGAGATTGGTTTTTAAGTTCAGTGGTTGATTTTTCTTTTTGAGGTGCCTGCCTCTCTGCACCTAACACTTCACTGCTGTGTGGGTGAGGGAGAGGAATCTCACCCCTTCTATGTTTTTTGTAAGAACGGGAGCAAATTACACACAGAACTCAGAAAATAACTTATAGCAAAGACTCTGGAGACATCTCTCTTCCAGACTCTCCCTGGCAGTTCTGTTAAAGGCTAAGAGGTGATTTGATTATAGTGTGTCAGTACTTGTAGGTGAGGAGATTTGTTTTCCTGAAAGCCCTTTTAATTTAGCACCAGAAAGTGGGATAGCTGTTTGCTGGAACCTGGTGTGGAACACACTCAAATGGGAAATAATGACCCCTTTTCTAGAGTGCATGTAGGTAAATATTGAAGCACTTGAGGATATGAAGGAGTTCCTCTGGTTCAAACAGGAGTGCTCAGTCTGAGCAGTCACATCCTCTGACCTGGGTTAGGAGGCAAGGCAGGATTTGTTGCCATCCCAGTTTGTTGCAGTCTCTGAAGCACAGACTGGAGCTGAAAGCTCTTGGAACTGAACTCTGGTTGCCTCAGCAGTGTCAGTGGTATCAGCCCCTCTGATCCCAAAACTGTACAGGTGTAATTGGGAATGGTGTGTTTTACTGGACCTGAAATGTAGGCACGTGCAGCAAATTTCTGCTGGTCACAAGGGTTGTAAAGTTTAGCACAGCTGCAGTTCCCACCTAAGTCCCACCTACAAAAAAGTTCTGCTGCCACTGAGAACATCAAAGTATGTAAATATGTAAGAAATACAGAACAGAGGAGCAACTCAGATGGTTAGATTTTTTTTCTCTGAACTTCAGTGTAGGAAGAAATGTTACTTTTTTTAGTCTTCTGTTCATTTTGGAAGGTAATTAATTGTGCAAGTGATAGCAAATTGTAAATCAGTTCCTTTGATGGGGTTCAAAATCATTTCTTAAATGTCTAGTTGTAAAATTTCCACTTAATTCAGCGGAAGTGGATTTGCCATAAAAATTCATTTGAAAGAAAGCATTGCTTTGTTATTTGCCCACATTTGTCTTCTGGAATCAATATAGTTTGCTCCCAAATCTGCTTTGTTCAGTAAACCCTAAACAAAAATCAAGCATTTCTAAATAAGAGCATGCACTTAAAATTTGTTTTTTGGCACGCTGAGATCCTCTAAGAGGCTAATACCTGACACCTGATTACAGAGGTGAGGTGACACTTCTGAAACTGTGCTGGGGACTGTCCAAGAGGCAAACCTGTTGTTCTGTCTTTGTTTCCTTTTGCAAGAGAACCCAACTGGAGGTTGATCTTCCACGGCCACGAGCAGTTGCCCAGTGATCCTGTGCCGTGTCCTGCTGTGGGAAGGGCTGGTTTGCTCCGTGCTGTGTGTTCTGGTGGTTTCTAATTTCTGTTGCTAGTGCTCAAGATAAGGGTTCAAGAAGATTTTGGCTGAATTTGAGGCTTTCAGGGGCACTAGAGCCACGTCCTGCAGCTTTTTCTAGACTTCAGTTTGCAAGTCAGTCAAGCACTGGCTGACGGTCCCCATCCAAACAGATTGTCATTGTTCAGTTATTGAACTCCTGCATAATCTTTGCATGAATAGGATTTCTTGTGTGTCCTATAGAATAACCTTTTATATCATTAGTATCTGCAATAATTTTTTCCTTTGCAAAGTGATTCATGTCATCTTGCAGATAGGGCAGATATAAAGCATTATTCTGCAGTCCCACAAGAAGCCCTATTCATGGACAGTTTGTGTTGTGAAGCCAGCCCTGTCGCCTCGGGGCTGGGCTTGGCTTCGTGGCAGCAATCCCAATCACAGAACCTTTCTGCAGTGCTCTGAACTGGGGGCTGGTCCACAGTCAAACTGGAAGGAAGTGGCTGCCTGGAAAGAGCCAAGTAGGAAAGTTTCTTGGTGCATTTGGTCTTTTCATTCTACTCATAAATAGTAGGTTTTAGCCACCCACCAAAAGTCCCAACAAAAGCCCAGTCAAGCTCAGCTTGAGGCCAGGTTCCCAGATCTGGGAACAGGGATACTCTTAGGTTTTGTCCTCACTAGATTTACATGCTGGATCATGTTCAATGGATCCCTCTCAAATAAAGCTGTGACCTGGGCCTGTGCTACCTGGATCAAGGCAATGGGAAAATAAGAAAAATAGTTTCTACTCTGCACCTGTAAGGATTTGTGCTACTCAGGCCCTGGAAGAACCTGAGCGTGTTTCTGCAGACAGTGATAATAAAGCAATTAGTAAATAACCACTGAGGAGACAGCAGTTAAACTGGCTGAAAAGAGGATGTTGGGGTTTTGCTTCTGATTGTTTGATTATTCTCTGACACAACAGTAAAAGGTGCCGACAACAGAGGCAGGAGGGAGCGATCCTGTGTTGGCCTTGGCAAGTTGGTGTTTGGATTATGCTGGTTTGTGATTGTACCAGAGGAACACAGGCAAAATGGAAAGGGATTAGAGAGTGCAGCAAGCATTGCATAAACACCTGAAATTATTTGGGAGATAGGAAGTGGAGATGGTGGGAAGAGCGTTCTTGTTGGGCATAGCTGGGAATACAAATTTCAACTGGAAAAAAGGGGAATCTAGGAGACCTTTTCATTGAAGGACTTGTGGAATAATTTTACAGATGCAAAAAGCTTCATTGTTTGAAGGTGGCTTAAAGGATGGGAGAAACTGGCTTAGTCCCAGTGGAAGGGGTGGGTGTGTAGGGAGATTACCCTTGGAGTGATATAGGAGAGGGAGACAGTGAGTCTGATATATTATTACTCTAATTAAGGAATAACTTAATCAGGGTGTAATTATTTCCCAAATTAGGTATAAACCCAAACTATTCTTTGTTGGTAAAAGGAAGACCAGTCTCTCTGTATGACACAGAGGAGGAAGGAGCCCTGAGGAGGTCCCATGGTTTTTCAGAACCAATATTAATTCTTCATCAAACCTGCTGTCCTGAAGACCTCTACTTTCTCTAAATATTATATAACATTTATTTCAGGGAATACAGAAGGGTTGTTTGTAGTTGATGGATGCTCAGAAAAGAAAAAGCAGCAGACCTCTTACCTTGGATGTGTTGGAGGGAGTCTGGGGATCGTTGGGCTTTCTGGAGACCTGGAGCACAGGTTTTCCTGTCTGAACAAATCCCACTAAGGCATTGGGGAGCCAACAGTGATGTTTTAAACTGTGGCTCTGGTTCAGCAGAGGGTTTAGCACACGTGGAGGTGAAGCCTGAGAGCAGTGACTGGAGGGTGTGGAGTCTCTCCCTGGGTTTGTGTGGGTGGTGTGAGCACCCCCGGGGCTGAAAACGGTTGTGCTGCCGCCCTTTATCATCCCCTGGCACCTGAGTGAGGGCTGTGGCTGGGGCACACCTGGCACACCTCATACACCTCATACACCTCATAGCTCTGCTCAGCCCTGGGGAGGCCCTCCCGTGCCGGGGGGGGCTCTGGGGCAGTGCCAGGGGGTGGAGAGGGAGCAGGACAGGACAGGAGGAGCTGGGGAGCAGCACCCGGGGTGTTTGGAGGGCAGGTGGCAGCGTGTTCAGATCCCAGCATGGCACTGGGGGCAGTTACTGCATCCTGAATCAACTGCTTCAGTGCTTTATATCACCCAAAATGTCCTTGCCTTTGCCTGGGCCATTGGACAGCGATGCAATGAGCAGATGTGGCACATCACAAACCCATCAAACGCTCTTCAATCTGTGCTTCTCAGTTTCAGATTAAGGCTTTACAATGTGAACATTTAGACTTGTGCTATGGCCAGTTGTTAATTAGAACAGCCCCAAGCTCTTCAGGCACTTCCCTTCTGTGTGGTGTGTTGGTACAGGCTTACAGCTAAAGGAGGTGGGATGGAACTGCAGGGAGGGCAGTGCATTCATCAGGTGCAGGGCTGGCCTTTCACACAGGGAAATATTTACCTTTGGAAAAACCAAAATAAACCCGTGCTGTGGTGTGACTTAGCTGGGATATAATCGTGGTTTATGAAATAGATTTCTGTTTGCACAGGAATAGAGGGTGCTCAGAATTTCATTGGGGTGTTTTAATTTGAAGCATTAAAGAAAGATGAATCTATGTCTAAATTTCAAGACCCTTAAATCTGAGATTTCTTATCTTTTCATAACAAAGTTAGGCAGCTTTTTCTTTCTGGTGCATTTCTGACTGTGATGGTAGGAAATGCAGCTGGAAATGGCTGTGCTAAGTGTGAAACACTCAATTCTTAGTTTTCATAGGCTTAACCTTTATACAAACGTTACTATCCTTGATGTCTACTCCAGTGGACTTATTGTATTAAATGTGCTGCTATTTATGGGTTGTAAGAGGAAGGGAAACAGTTATTCCTCCTTAAAATACTTTGCCATGGTCCCAGAGACCTTGGTGAAAGGCTAATGGAAGCCAGGGTGGCCTTTCCTAAAGGCCCTGCATTCTTAGAGCCATTCAGCTGCTTTGCTGCAGGCTGTTTGCAGCTTTTCATAATCCAGAGAGCTTGGAAATCCTGAAAGTGCTTTTCTCTACTGCCCCGTGCCTTATCTTTAGAACCTTGGAAAACAAGAGTCAGAAATTCACAACAGGATCAAAATGTTTTGCTCTGTTAGAATTAAAGGTAGTGTTTTGCTCGGTCTGGGGAGGGGAAAAAAGCAAGCCTCAAAAAAATTAGTGAGTGGCTAAAATAGAGCTGTTAAAATGGCAGCACATAGACAGGCTGTGTATAAATATAGGCCAGCTCCTCAGCACTGCTCTTATATGGGAGATGTGAGGGAGGGAGGAATATCAGCCTGCTCTCCCTCTGTGCAGCGGGTGTCAGTGGTGTGCTCTGGGCCACACGTTTGGTAGCAGACAAGGCTGCAGAATCCATGGCAATGATAATGACTCTCACCTTTGTTTCTGTTGCAGGGACCTGCACTGGCAGTGTGAGAGGGGACTCTCAAAGGCATACGTGGATTTTTTGTCTGTACCTGCTACTTGATTGTCTGCCTTTTACTGACCCACCCGAAAAGAGAGAAGAGGGGTCCAACAAAAACCACTGACTTGTCACTTGTGCCTAAGAACTGGCTGGATTTTATGGCACCTGTTGGAGAGGGCACTTGGACCCTTGGAAATGGAGCAGCTGATGCTGCACCTCTGCTGAGCAAGGCTTTCTGCTTGGAGCACAAGGATCAAGTTGCCTTAAGTCAAACCGTATGTAAGTTGCACTAAGTGTTGTAACTGTACCTCCAAACCCTCTCCAGACTTCTCCAGGGCTTCCCCAGGCAGGAGCTCCTCACGTAGTTCGGATGTTCCCAATTGACATTTGAATGTTTTCATCCAGCCTGGTGTGGCTGTGAGAATCGGGGGTGAACTTTTCCCTGGGAAGTTCATGGTGAGTTTTGAAGCCTCACTTCCCGGCGTGGTCTGTGCCATGGCAGCGACCTACAGGCTGCTGGTGAGCTCTGTGAACTGCTACAGCAGTGTGGTGATAGACCAGCACTCCCAGCACACCGTGCACCACTGCACGGGCACCTGCCAGGTGTTCAGGCGTGGGGTGACCTGCATAGTCGCCCACCACAGTGTCTGTGCAGAGCTCAGTGTCCAAGATGCCAACCTGGACCATAAAATTCCTCTTCCTGAAAATGGGCTCGCCTTGTCTGGAAATGAGGACTATCACCAAATCCTCCCAAATAACCCAAGGATCAAAAAGGGCTCTTCAGTGCAAGCCTCCAGCAGTTTAAAGGACATTACTGGTGAGGCAATAAACCTTGCCAGTGGTAAAATAAAGGAGTTCTCCTTTGAAAAGCTCAAAAACTCCTCCAGTCATGTGGCCTACAGAAAGGGAAGGAAGGTTCGGTCAGAATCCTTCAGCAGACGATCCTTTGACTTTGACTTGATTTATGGGCACCTCAACAACGATGAGAACTGCCCTCCATGTGGCTTTTTGCAGAGCCCCCCCCCTGCGGAGAAGTGGCAGGAGGGCAGTGATACTCCAGAAGTCACCGTGAGCCCCATGGCTCCCTTCTGCCCTCATGCCTTCTCTGAAGAAAACTTCATTACCCAGATTTTGGAAAAACACAAGCTAGATGGTTCTTCTGGTGGGGATATCAAGGTGTGCTTGGACATCTTGCTCAAGTGCTCAGAGGATCTGAAGAAGTGCACGGACATAATAAAACATTGCATCAAAAGGAAGTCTGCAGACAGCGTGGGTGGGGGGAACAGCGGCGACCCCCTGCCCAGTTCAGAAATGATATACATGAACCTGATGACCAGGTTTTCTTCCTACCTGAAGAAGTTGCCCCTGGAGGTGAAGCCCCCGGGGCAGAGGGAGGCGAGTGACTGGGCAGAGCTGGTGAGCTGCTTCCATGGCTTGCAGCAGAGCCCCTTTGCCCCGCTGTTCGGGGACGAGCAGCCGCCCCGCTACGAGGACATTATCCAGCTGCCATCCCCCAGTGCAGGTCCTCTGGCTCTGCCAGGAGATCAGGGGGAGCCGACAAGCACCTCTCAGTCCCTCCACGCAGGTACTGTGGCCTTTACCCCCACCTCCCCTCCCAGTGGCCCCCAGAGCAGTGTGAGAGCTGGGACAGACGCTCTACCTCAGCCAGCGGCCCCGAGCCCCCCCGACGGCGCATCCTGCACCGAGGCGCTGTACATCGAGGAGGAGGCTGATGGGGACAGAACAGCAGGGAAAGGGCAGAGGGCAGAGCACAGAGGGGGCTGGCAGAGTATGGAGCACAGCTCCCAGCGAGCTGCTGGTTCAGATGGACCTGCTGATGCTCAAGCAGAGCGTGCCCGGGTGGGAGATGCCGAGCTCTGCCCCGCTCCCGAGGACATGGCTCCTTTAACACCACCCCTGGATTCCGTGCTGCACGGGGCCCAGGCTGGTGTCCCCAAAGGAGCCCAGACGTGCAGTAGGGTGGACAAGGAGGAGATAGACAAACTGCTGCTGGACTTGGAGTGCTTCTCCCAGAAAATGGAGAGCACTTTGAGGGAACCCCCTCGGAAGCAGGGCGAGCCTGCGGGCGTGCAGGCGTCGGGCAGGCAGGGGAGGCAGGTTCTACCTCTGGCTCTGGAGGCCAAAAGTAAACCTGCTGACCCCCCTTCTTCTCTGTCAAAAATCATGGAAACCAATGGTCACAAAATGGAAGAGGATGACAAAGCCTTTTTACTGCGGATCCTGGGAAGCATTGAGGACTTTGCCCAGGAGCTGGTGGAATACCAGACAGGCAAGGGGAGCTTGTCCAAGGAGAAGGAAGTGATGCAGATTCTTCAGGAAACTTTAGCAACTCCTTCACAGTCCCTCCTTGCAGGGAAAAAAAGCCATGCTGGGGCTGCCTGCAGAGACTCTGTTCCAGCCTCAATTCAGCAGGCCCCAGAGGTGATTAAGGTAAGAGAACCGAACTTCTGAGGGGACAGTGAGTAAAACAAACGTGGGCAAATGTGGAAAAAAAATACATCTGCTAAGTGATTCATTGTGCTTTGGATACTGCAGTGTGGAATGATGTGTTCAACCTGGCAGAAATGTAGCATTTACTGAAATACAACCAAAAAAAGGAAACTAAACCCCCATAGCAAACAAAATAGGCCTTGATGGGCAGTTTCACCTTTGAGCTTGAGCCTTTCCTGCTGGTGCTCCTGTAGGCTGGCTGTGGTTTAATTGGGTCCTATATAGTAGAGGGTAGTAATAATTACTTTAATAAGTACTTTACTTCTGGGATCAGGTATTGCTTGGGCTGCCTCTCACCAGTTCAGGGAGATCTGAATGTTCCATCTCTCCCTTTCCCATCTTGGAGCAGACTTGTTGTCCTCCTCATCACTAGTTCCTAAAGAGAGAGATCCTCCATGGCACAAAGGGCAAATCTAGGAAGGTTTAATTTTCTTCTCCCTGTCCCCAGTGCATGGAGTCATGGTGGAGTCTGCATGGCTTGTAACTCTCAAATGAGGAGTAGGTTTTCCCAGGAAAAAGGGTTTTAGAGGGAAGCCAAGGCTGGCTGTCCAGCACTCAGTGTTTTCATTTGGTAACAACTGCCAGATTTCAAGAGAACTTGTTGCCATTGTTCCAAGCATTCATTAAGTGTAGAGAGGACTGTCCAAAGTTTCCAAAATGCACCTTCCACACAGGCACTGAAAGAGTGCCCAGGATATCAGTGAACTCTCACAGCTCCTTCCAGCTGGAGCACGATGTGCATGTTTTGAAAACTTTCCACTTTCCCCAAAATACAGGTATTTGGTGCAGTTCTGAAAGGGGATGGGTAGGGTGTGTCTGACCCTAAATGAGAGTGCTGAGATCTTTTTACATGAGGCTAAACAAGTGTTTCTGTTGTTGCTCTGGGCAACTTTGCTCATGGGAAATGGTGGGCATAACCTTGTCTAGTATTTCCAGCAAGGGAAAGAGTCTTTTTTTCTCAGAGAGTGTAGAACTAAACAGCTCCAAAAGCTCTGGAATGATCTCTTGAAATAGCTATTCTTGCCTTGTACATTAATTTACAAAATTTTCGAACTTGTGAACTTCAAACAAAAATGTGTTGGGTAAACTGTGACTGACTTTGTGGCAGATTTTATTTAACACTTGAAAACTGGATGCACTTAGACTGTCAATGGCTCAGCAGCCTGGTCCCTGGACATGTTCTGTTCCCTGCTCCCACCTGGCTGTGTGTGTTTGCTCCCAGTCCTGCTGTAGGTTTCTAGCACAGGTGTGGGCACAAGGCCCTCTGTAGGTGTAGCATCTAGGGAATGCATCCATGCTCCTGGATAAGCCTGGCTGTGGTTGGAGCTCAGTGTGGAGTCTCACTCAGTGTTGCACACGTGTGCCTGGATGAATAACGTGCAAAGTATTTGTTGTGTTTTCTTAAGGCCCATAAAACTGTTATCAAATGGTTGTGCACATGCAGAAAGCCCATAGCTCTACTACCATGAACACACAGCACAGCTTTCCTTTAGGAATGTTGTGACAGATTTAATTATCCCTCAAATCCTAAGCCGTGACAAAGGAGCAGGAGAGCCCCTTTGGAGCGGGCTGTGCTCTGGCTCAGCTGGCCTGGCTGTGTTAAATCTGGCCTGACTTATATCAGCAGCAAACTTGCCCTTTATCATAAACCCAATTATGATTCTCCACAGAGAACAATAGGGTTGGTTGCCTCTTCATCTTCAAGCCCCAAATATTTAGAAAGTAGGAAATGAATCCTGCAGAAGTCCATCAGTTTTACAGAGCCCATAATGAGGGCACGGTGCTGCCTTGGGGCAGCCAGGAAGCATTGCCTGCTCTGGGAGAGGCCAGCACTTCCCACCCTGAGATCCACTTTTCCCCTGCTTATCTCAAAACCTCCCAACTGTTTGGTTTGAAATTTCCTGTTCCCTGTGCCTGCCTTAAGCTGATTTTTGAACGTGTTGGGTTTGAAATACGCAGTTCAGTGAGGACAGTGCAGTTGTGTGTTGGAGGCCAGCAAACCCCCAAGTGTCTGTCTGTATTTTTGTCTGTAGCTAAGAGGGCAATAAGGATCCTGGGTGCACTGGGAGGTGTGAGGGAAATGGGGGAACCTGCAAGCAGTGAGATGTGAAGAAGGGGGGGATGGGGCTGTTGGGATGCTCTGAGCTGATCTGCACAAAGGCTGAGTGTTGGTCAGTTTGGAAGGTGAAGGGTGCTGCCTTTTGCTAAAATGTCTCATACAAAGTCCTTGGAGAAGTCAGTGGTGGCTGTTTCTGACCTTCCCCTCTCTGTGCCCTTGGTCTGCCACCTGTCCAGGATGGATAATTGGACAAGGGAAATTCAGGCAATGCTTGCAGAATATTTGGTGAAATTACCCTGGAAAAGTCTGTAAGAAATGTAGTCCTTCTGTGTTCAGAATCAAGTTTGAATAGTGCAGGGCTCTGCTTCAAGTTCTACTCATGTGTTTTATTTTAAGAGCCGTTGGATAAAGCTGATGAATAATTTTGGGAGCAGAGATCAGGAGCAGGGTTTGATACAAAGGGACCTCTTGTCTTTTGTCCCTCCTCTGTTGAGTGTCCCTTCTCAAAGGGATTACTTGGTGTAATGAGTCAGAAAGAGCAGTCCTGCTTCCCATTTCTGTCTCCTCCATGCCTCTACTTCCTACTGCACGGTTCCAAATCTTCCTTTGTGCTGCCTGTGGTGCTTGTGTACGAGGTATAAATTGTTAGGCTTGTTTTCTGCCATATTGACAAGTGGAATTGCTCAGGCTGAGGTCAAATGTGTGATCCAGCCCCTGGATCTGGGAGCAGAGGGTTTGCAGTTTGCAGGCTTAAGGAGTGGGTTTGGACCACCCTGGTATGTGTTGGATGGTGGAGCCTTGAGTCAGACTATTCCCTGATTCCAGGTTTCCCCTGGGCTGTCTCATCCTGAGTGACTGATGGAGGATGTTGCTGACCCCCTGAAATATCGTCCTGCATGTTTTTGTATCAAAATGTCTGTTGTGTGCTTAAAACAGGGGCCCTGAGGAGGCTCTGAGTGGAAACAATTGTTTCATAACCATGTGAAGTTTAGGTTGACCTGACAACTTTGTAGTTCTGCCCCCTCATAATTCTGTGTGCTTTTGTGTTTTGCACATTTAGTGATATGCTTATGAAGGATCTTGTGTGGGGCGATTAAATGTGAGAAATGGCTTCTATAATGTCATAATAACTTTAACTCTGTCCTGAAATGTACATTTATTCTCAAAATGCATCCAAAACATAATGTGAAACTTCTTCTGGAAAATCAGCTTTCATCTTACATATGTTACAAATATGTTTTGATTAGATATTGATAATATCTGTCATTTAAACTATACACACAATCTGCACTCTTCTCAAGCATTAATTATTCATTACTTCTAGGCCCAAATAGTGAAAAACAATGGCTTTTTTTCTTGTTTGGTAATAATTATTGAAATAAATGCAAATATGAAGTGAATCTTAAAGTAGCTCAGAATGAAAGATGGTAAAAGAATAGAAAATTAAATCAGATTAAATTAAAGAGTAAAAAAAACTGGGACCAAACACTTAGAGACATGTTCATATGTGGGCACCTTCTGTAATCAGGGCAGATCCAACCTCTGTTTGTGTGAGGTTGATTTATGTTGAAGTAACATCTAAAGGTGGGTGAAACAGAGCCTGGTGATACAGATTGAGTTTTTCAGCCTGGCTGACTCTGAACCGCAGACAAAGTCAGGCTGTTGCTGGAGAAGTTCAGTGTGTTTTGAAAGCAGCTGGAGCTGGAGCTCTGCTCAGCTCTGCAGGGACACTGGGCTGTTGGAGCCAGGCTTTGGGTGCAGCCAGTCCTGGAGTGATTTAATCACCCAGATCTCTTAGGACTAACACCAGCTTTAGGCACAGGTGGGATCCTCTCTGTGCTCCAGTGACCTGTGAAGGGATCTGCCATCTCTCACCTTCATGCTTTAAACTGGGTCCCAGCATGGAGGAGTTTGAGTTTGTGGTTCAGCTGGTCTGCCTGTTGAGATCAGATTTTCCTGCTGGGGGTTTTGCCCAGTGGGCTTTGGAGCTGTTGATACAAGATTCTCTTGCTGTCCACTTCTCACAGTACTGCATATTTATGTCTTTATTTATACCCACCTTGTGTGCTTTGAGGATAGGAAGTACCATCCTAGAAACCTGCTGTTCCAAGCCATTGGAATTCAGACACAGCCAGCCTTGCCTCTGGATTACTTGTATTTTTCCAGGTTATCAGTGCAAAATCCTCCAAGCTTCCAGGCTCTTTTGTGCCTGGTTAATTTGTGAATGAAAAGTAATACATCTGTCAAAGGCTGCTGGAGCTGCTCTGGATGCAGCTGGAGGTGAGAGGTTCTTTGGGCTTCATTCCCTCTGCAGCCTGTGAGCAGGGTGAGAGTTCAGTTGGAGATGAAGTATTTCATCACTTGCTGCAGATGATTTATGATAAATCACCTCCTGATATGCTGCTGTGTGAGATGTGCAGCACTCCCAGCACAAGGAGCCTCCTGGGCTCTTTATGCATTGCCTTGATGTTTAGAAAAAAGTTGTCAGAGTAAGAAACCCCAAATTTATTCCAAATGTGTTTCATATGGATCTGTGCATCCTTCACTCAGTCGCAGTTCCAGTTAAAACATTCCTGCCTGCCTTTTGTTTTTGGAGCTCCTTTCTCATTCCCATCCTCATCCTCCTACCCTGTTAGGCTTTGTACTCATTTGGGCTTTGTTGTTAACCTTGGGCTTCCTACAGGAACCCAGGAAAAGGACACCAGAGACACGTGTCCATTAAAAGGTTTCTGTTTGTGAGGCTCGGTGAGACATTTTCATTTCAAATGCAGTATCTTGAGCAAGCCCTCCTAGCTACAAATCAGATGTTGTTCTGTGCTGTTGAACTTGGCTACTTTGCCAGGTTGCTTTCTAAGGTTTTAAAGTCAAGTAGGGAAACAGG